CTACCTATATTACATATTGAATTTTAATAGCCAATTTCAAACCAATAAATCATCGAAAAAAACAATTTCTGTGTCCAATCAAAGGAATAGCTGTGAAGAACTGAAATAAATACGTTACATCTTCATTTTAATCAACAAAAGGGCCTGCTATGTTTCTTGATTAATAAAGCAAACCAGGAAAGCGCAATCATAAAAGTGCGTTTTATGAGAGGTTAGATATGAATCGGGAAAGAAATGAGAGGTTGATAATCCTCCCCGAAAGGGATTAAATATTTGATTGAAGTCAAAGCTGAAATGTTTTGTTTTTCTAGTATTGTATTTAAGCAGTAGACAATGCCTAAACTTATTTATTTACAACATGATAAGAGATTGAATACTTGTGATTAATTGCAGACTAGATATACGGAACCAAGGTTTCCCTGGTGACTAATTTCAGCAATACCGGTACATGGTGTGTGCAGAGTTGTCACAAAACTAAAAATGCTCTTGGATGTGTCGAATGAAATAAAAAATTAGCATACACGTGTACCAGCGTTTTTTCTCAACTTGCCCCAAATTTTTCATATCGCCTCAAATGCTGACAACAATTTTTGTGACGCTACCAGTAAGCTAATTAAACCGGAATTTGGCATGCTATCCTCATTTCCGATTGGTCACATCGCCCCAGAGAATTGACCGCCTAGGTTGAAATTGGTAATGCCAATTACCTGAAAATTTTGACAATTTTTTTCGTTTTTCGAGAATAATTTCGAAGTTTACGAAATGGTAACATTCCCGCTTCATATCTCTACAGAAACCCTATATTTGGCTTCCAATGCCGTTCGACCGAACCTCCTAGCACAATTTTTAAGGGTACTTTGGAGGAAGATCGGTTTTGATCAATATTCGCACAAAGTACCCTTAATGCTAAAATTATTAATTACTGCCGGTTCGAATTGCCCCAAATTTTGGTATGTTATTGAACTTTAGTAGTAGAACAATAGTTAAATTACCCACCCTTCGAAATCGACCTGCGTGACCATATTTCAGTGGTCGAAAAGAGAAGTCGTGAGGTCAAGTCTCACATAACCCCATGTGTGGGAAATCGTTGGAAAGGTCTCGGCGAGAGGATTTAAAATATAAATACTGTATGGGGTCTGAGACCACCCCCCGAAGTTTCAGAGAATGCAGAATATTTTTGAGTTTGAGCCCATTCGGTGTTAGATTATCTGCCAATCTGCTGCCGTGTTATATTCTGGAGAATTGCCGATTCTAATTCTTCTGCTTCTGAACCGTCGGGGATGATCTCACACCCAATAAAGTATATATATTCTGTGTCCGCTCATCAAGACCTTTGCAACGAATCTAATGATACCCCACACATGGGGTTATGTGAGACTTGACCTCACGACTTCTCTTTTCGACCACTGAAATATGGTCACGCAGGTCGATTTCGAAGGGTGGGTAATTTAACTATTGTTCTACTACTAAAGTTCAATAACATACCAAAATTTGGGGCAATTCGAACCGGCAGTAATTAATAATTTTAGCATTAAGGGTACTTTGTGCGAATATTGATCAAAACCGATCTTCCTCCAAAGTACCCTTAAAAATTGTGCTAGGAGGTTCGGTCGAACGGCATTGGAAGCCAAATATAGGGTTTCTGTAGAGATATGAAGCGGGAATGTTACCATTTCGTAAACTTCGAAATTATTCTCGAAAAACGAAAAAAATTGTCAAAATTTTCAGGTAATTGGCATTACCAATTTCAACCTAGGCGGTCAATTCTCTGGGGCGATGTGACCAATCGGAAATGAGGATAGCATGCCAAATTCCGGTTTAATTAGCTTACTGGTAGCGTCACAAAAATTGTTGTCAGCATTTGGGGCGATATGAAAAATTTGGGGCAACTTGAGAAAAAACGCTGGTACACGTGTATGCTAATTTTTTATTTCATTCGACACATCCAAGACCGTTTTTAGTTTTGTGACAACTCTGCACACACCATGCACCGGTATTGCTGAACTTAGTCTGGTACATCGGACGCGTATACATAGGTTGCTTGGTAACAACTTTCATAAATCTCCTCATCGATTTGGTATTACCAAATTAGTAATACTTTCTTATTGAGGGCAATCACAATAGCTTCGTAACGTTAGTAACATGAGAAAAACATTAGCAAGTTCGCAAAATATATCCATCAAAAATTGCCTTGCGAATTTGCGTGTCTCTTTGGCTATTTTTAAGTGAGTAAAAAGTTCGCAAATCTATTTAGTGCGATGCGAACTTGCGAACCTTTTGTGAATACCCTCATTTTCTCTAAATAAATTCTAAACTCAAAAAAACAGACTTCATCAATTATGCATTTCAAAAAATAAATATGAAATTCGAATAATAAATTCTGTAAATAATAAATCCACTTCAGGCTAAACCTGGCTCGGGCTCTGCGAACCTTGCACAGGATATAATGAATTTGTTACCAAATTATGGGGCCCGAGATTTTACGCTGAGAGAAACTGAAAGGGGCCCAGCGTTACCATGAAATTAGTACCATGTTATTACCATGAAATTCGATCACTGCCTCTGTACGTCGGACATACAGGGTGGACAGAAAAGGCTGCACCAGGCGATGCATTTTTAAGGCAAAATTTTAATAATTTTAATAATTAGTTAGGGAAAATTTTGCAAAGAAAATTTTGGCCGCCCATTCCACCATTGACTTCGAGTGAGTTGGCCTTAGTTCTCATTGCCTGAAAATTAGTATGGTCTGGTCATGCAAATAGTTTTTTATTTATTTTTTAGATACGTTGGACAAAGACACGCCGAATTCAAGAAGGGTCGAGATTGGAGTTGCTACTAAATAAATACCAGTTTTATTTACACGTGATAATTTAGCACTGTTAAATTTAATGTATCAATAAAAAATTGTTTACAAAATTAATTTTTGATACAGACTAACACAATCAATATATGATTTTTAGCCACCCCAACAATCCCAATATTCCGAAGTCGTAATTTTGAGTCGATCAAGAATTTTCCATAATAAATAAGAAGGGGAAACGAGGTTTTGGAGTAAGAGGTCAAAATATGCCAACTTATTGGAAACTAGCCGATAAACTGTTATTCAACCGCCTCAACCTTAAGGGGCTTAGGACGCCGACGCATCTTGCCCACGCTAAACTTTGGCCTCGCACAGGCCCGGTTGAACAACAACATAATTAAATATGGCACACAAACAGGGAATGGGTACTCCGGTCCAGCGTGGAAAGGTGTAAAATTTACACAGTTTTCGTCAATATTTTTTGCACTGTACTCCACCGTTGATGCCGGCATTAGATAATTATGCATCACTGATTAAGTCAGGTATCTAAAATTGGATGAGATCAAACAAAAGCGACATAACAACACGACTAACCGCCGTGTTGCTTCTAATTGAGCCATGAACTCACCGATTGCATCATATACATACGACATGCTCCCACTTCAAGATAAGTGATTACCTTAGGTCGGGACATGACTGACTAAACTTATTGCGAAATCCAATTAAAATAAAATGAACAACTAAATTTATCTTAATGTATAAGATTGGATCAACATATAAAATAAATTCGAGTATCTATCATTGCATAAATATGAAGGTACACACCTATTAGTTATTCATACTAAAAATCTTGGAATATGTACATATGTAATTTGCACACGATTCCGCATTTGAAAATGACCTGTATTTTAAGTTGCAATTTTTATTGATAATTTGCACACGTTTTCACCTTCATGGCATGGAGCTTCAAGGAATGGACGCATAATATCAAATTTTCTCGGCGAGTGACGCTCTTGTACCTGTACGCGCCTTAATAAACACATTCTAAGTTAATTGATTGATGGCAGCATTCGTATATAAGTATCATCCTCAACCACCCATCCATACTTGGAAAAGATCAAGTAAAGGCGACAAAGTAAAAAAAACACCTCAAATGGTTTACCTTTTGCTTTCTTACCACGTCCTAAGAAGTACATTGGTCGAACTGATGGGCAAAATTGAGTACAATTATTCCTTAGTCCATATGTTACTCTAACATGCGAAATAAATGTTGCCAGCATTGGCATCTACAGTGACCCAAATGGGTGAAGGCACCTTTGCATATTTTTTATCTCGATATGATGTCGTGAACTTAGAACTTCGAAACTTGGTACACATGTGCAACAACTAAACGCCGACTAATGCCGCGTCGTAGATTTTTCAGGTCACCGACAGATCAAAGGTCAGAATTTTTTTTAAAAGAATTTGAGAGGCAAAAATAAAAACTTTGTGGATAATTTTTTTTAACTTTTGCATAATTTTTGTTCGATGCTAAAAGCGATTACAAGAAAAATGACGTTCCACATGACCATGGGCGATTTTTTTGACGCCTTCGGGAATTTTTTCGCCAAGGGGTGTGTGAGGGTCTATTTTCGCGACCGCGGCGAAATTCAAAAAACTGAAATATAGGAAAGTACATTTATTGTGTTTGTATACTTTTTTGCCTCTCAAATATTTTTACAAAAAAATTCCGACCTTTGACCTGTCCGTGACCTGAAAAATCTACGACGCGGCATTAGTCGGCGTTTAGTTGTTGCACGTGTGTGCCAAGTTTCAAAGTTCTAAGTTCACGACATCATATCGAGATAAAAAATATGCAAAGGTGCCTTCACCCATTTGGCTCACTGTATGTACTAGATACTATCTAGTTAATACAGTTATTCGTATTCCGACACTTTAAAGTCAAAAGTTTAAAGATTAGACTCGTAATGTCAGTTATCTAAAATTGGCCGAGATCAAAGAACAGCGACATATTGCTGTTACCTACTTGGACATTCACTCAGCAAGCGAATAAATAACTCTAACTGTCGTGGGTTTTTGCCTATAATCGAACCATGAACCCACTGATTGCATCATACACGACATGCACCTACATCCAGATAACTGATTACCGTAGGTCGAGACATGAGTGACAAACCCGATTGCGAAATCCAATTAAAATAAATTTATCCAACAATAATATTTATCACCAAAGAGACAAGGTGGTAATTAGTGGGGAATAAAAGCAACTATTGCAGCCTAGTTTTCAATCAGTCTGTTCCGACGCTCAGTAATCACCAGCTAAGCTTTTTTTATATTCACCAATCCGCAGGTAATAAATTGGCATGCAATCAAAATTTCGTCACTATTTATACGTATATTAGCCTCGAATTGATTGCCTCTAACGTTAAGTGGTAATTGGTACCCAGTTATTACTTACTCCCTGGTGGCAGAGAGAATGTTAAGTCGTCATAAATATAAGCACACTTGGTAATTGTACATTATGTTTCACCAATTTCTTTAGAATATCGACAATTCATCCGGGGCGATGAAGACGAGGTACGCTTTCTGTATCATATTTCTCTTCTCAGCCACCCTCTTGGACCAAGTGTGGGGTGAAAATGAAAGTTGTGGTCCCCGGTCTCGTCCAGACCCTGGACTATGCCCCTTTCAAAATGGGGTCACAATGCGCTGCGAATACCAAGTTGGTCTTGGGGGAGGATGCGCTTGTTGGCAATGCAAATGTCCAAGCTGGGCGCCGCATGTAGAAGGTCATGGTTGCGTCCCCCTGCCCTGTTGTTAAAAGGCGGAGATCGAGGCGTAATTAAATTCCTTAGCTTACTGTTCTATTAGTAATTTGATCAAATTGGCTTTCCATAAAAAATAAATCAGAACATCTATCAATGCATGACAAAGTTGTTGTTGTATGTTCGAATTTATTTCTGCAAGAGATAAGCCTCGCACTCATTAGGATGGATTAGCCTTCACCTACTTGTCTTAAGAATTGCGTAAATTATTTTGTGTTGAAATTGGGATTTGATTAAAGCACTAGGATGCAGGTATTATTACAATAATATAATTTCCACACAGGTTTTACCGTCCGAATGAACAGACAATTGTGGGCCAGGACTTGCCCTGCCTGCCTTCTGAGTTAGATTAGCTAATGCAAAATTTGGAACTCAAAATCAAAATTTGGAACTCAAAATCAAAATTTTGCAAAATGCTAAGCAGAATTGACATAATGTGTGGGGCAAAGTGGTACAACAGTCAGAATCAGTCTGCCATTACCCCAAGGGTTGCATTACAGACTGGTAAGAGTATTGTTGCTCACTGTCGGATCACTTGCGTCAGTTGGTTATCTCATTTCACGAGTACCTCAAATAAGAGACTCAAGTACGGAATAAACGCCGTTAAACTTGGACTTTATGTTATCAATGATAACTGATAATCACATGATGAGCAAAGTGCATACGACTTCGATAAAGTAGGGTGACAGTATAGAATTAGTAAAAAAAGATCAGGGTTCCACACACTCTAAATAATCAAGTAATAGGCGGTAATTATATATGACTCTCCCGGCATTTGGAGTTATCTGCCACTGCGGTGGTAGTGAATTTTCGTGGTGGTGGCGCTAATTTTCTACCGCTGTGGGAATAACTACAACCGTCTTAGTAACAAATAGCGCCACCACCAAGAAAATCCACTACCACAGCAGTGGCGAATAACTCCAAGTCCGGTAGTGTCATATATTATTAGCGGATTGTTTACAGTGTAGACTGTTCTCGCGGACATATTTTTTATTCCCAGGTGCCTACATAACCATACTATCCTATATGTAGCTGCAAAAATGCCAAATTCCACCTGGTAAATAATAAAAATATGCAATTGTTATAATTAAGCAGTCCCAGCTAAAAACACGTATTCTGTTTTTTTATTGCTAATCATAATAACCAATTCCGTACTGAAATATTACCATTGTAACCAGCCGGTGTCAGATTATCGCTAATCATGCATACAACCTGGTATCGGATTACATAATCGTTTCTATAAAAAATTCCGTCTTATTTTTTTTGCAACTGTTCCACAAACCCTGGCCACACCGGTTACATCATGTTGCAAAGTATTGTATTGGTATGATTTATTCCTTTTTTACGGCCTCATCGGGCCCATAAAGGAGCAAATTTTACAAAGTCATTAAATGAGTCACAAAAATTACAGTATGATGAGTAATTAAATTGACATTCATTAAATCAGGGAGTTCGATTTGATAAGAGATCAGTATGTAAAACAAGGTCATAATAATGCACACGAAAGAAAGAGTTGAGTCAGTTATTTAACAACCATCGTGACAGTAAGTATGTCATAAAAGTGTATAATTGTTGAGTCAGCCGAGATTCCAGTCCATGGGTGAAGAAATTGAGCGATGTGATATTGGTCAAGGAATGTTGTTGTGAGGAGAGGAAGCCAGCCCAGCCAGATTGAGATGCGACGTATGGTGATATTTTGGAAGGGAGAAGAAGTGTGTAGAAGAAATTATGACATCCGGTCGGTGATAGGTAGATAAGAGGGGGAGGAGACGAATGTGATATGGGATCGTGGGTGCTGTTGCTCCTGCAATCCTTGCCTACCGGAAAGGGAAGAAGAACAAAGTCCACGCATTGGAGTGTGATGACAAGTCGTAGTACGCCTCCTCCATCGAAGATAGAATGCGCCACATCCTGTTGAAGTGGGTCACAGCGGCCGCCACGGCGTCCCGATGTGGTCACTGATTCCCAACGAAGAATGACCCCCAGGCGTCCCTTGGGTGGACACGAATGATGATGGCTGGAAGAGCGTCCTCGGTCCCGGCCTCCATCATTTGGCGAAAAACGTAGCAAGATGTGGCGACGAAGTAACAATGACGTACCCGGTCCTCCTCGTGGATGATAATACAGTTCGGTTTTAACAAGACGCACACACAAAATTCTGCCCCCACAAAATTATGAGATGATTGTCCCGTAGTGTTGACGAGTGTCAGAAAGATATACTTTCAGTAGCCGGGGTAGTTTGTTGCAGTATTTTCAGTGCACAATTTAACAGTTTACACTTTCATGCGCAAAGCGCAAGGAAAGAGCTGAGTAAAGTGTGTAGTTGTTACGTGGAGCCGATTGAAATGCAGAGAGAGAGAGACTCGACCACTCTCCTCCGTGTCTCAAACCGAACTACATCATGTTGCAAAACTAACATGGATCTCATTAAAAGATAAGTTATTACCTAAGGTCGGGACATGATTGACAAAAGTTATCGCGAAATCCAATTAAATTAAGGTAATCGAATCACGTACATAACGTGGGCCGCAGAATGAATAAAGTCCACTCTCTCCACCCCACTTTTATCCAGTAGCCTTCCAGATGTCGCGTAAATAATCCGGTAACAAATTGCTACGATAAAATCATACTTACAAGGGACACTCACGACCTGTCGTTCGTGTCCAGGGTACCCACTATGTTTTTTAGAATCTACCAGGACCCTAGATAAAGGATCCATTCATATTTCTGTGTAAAACTCATATTTGGCGCCGTGGCGTGGCGCCAAATTCGCCAAATTTGCAGGTTTTTATTTTAAAAATCAAGTTTTTCAAAATATTGCTTTTTTCAATTTTTTTCAAAATTTTGAGATTTTCTTAAACATGGGAATTGGGCGAAAAAATCTGAAAAATGTCACAAAAATAAAAATTTTTCATTTTTTATTAAGGGGTAAAAACCCCTTTATGGGAATGTCTTGTCTGTCTGTCTCTCTGTCTGTCCGTCTGTCTGTCCGTATCCACGATAACTTTAGAACGGATGCGTATATCGAGATGCGGTTTTCGCCAAAGTATTTCTAATTTTTGAAGTATGGATGAGTTCGAAGATGGGCATTGTAGGTATTAAGGTCACGGCGCCATGGCGACGACGCCGTGTCGAATAGGTGTCGAATTTTTTGTTTCGACGGTTTTAGACGTATTTTGGGACGGGGATTTCGAAAATCGACATCATTTTGACGTATGATGGCCGTGTGACCGTGTAGACGACGCCACTTGAATTATGCCATGTGGGGTGTCTATCGAAAGGTATAGTCGTGTACGTTCAAAGTACGCGGGAGTTATGTCGAAACGGGGCGAAATGAGACGTGGGGTAATGTGAGATAATTGGGGAAAATGACGGGAAAGTATTGGAAGACGATTTGGGTGTGCCACAAGGACAGTTACGTGCGTTTTCACCCCTTTGCTACATTTCGTTTGCAACGGTTTATTTATTTCCTAAAGGTTTGACCTTTGTGATCATTTTAAGCCCAAACTTTTGCAAATCCCACAGAAACTGCAAAAGTTATGAAGGTTTGAAAATGGTCGAAAACACAGATTTTTAAGTTTGACGCCACGCCATGGCGCCAAATATGAGTTTTACACGGAAATATGAATGAAACCTTCATTAGGGTCCTAGTCGATTCTAAAAAACATAGTGGGTACCCTGGACACGAACGACAGGTCGTGAGTGTCCCTTGAAAGTCTACGTATTCGTAAATCCTTGAAAAATTTATATTTCTTATGCTCCTATATTCAGTAGTTTCAAAGCTGTTTTGAATTACAGAAAAAAACTGTAATTTCTGTAAAAACACTTTTGAAACTATTAATTTTGGCGAACAGTTATTTTAATGTTCGCTGTAATATTCATCAGATCGCATTGTGACCAGTATTGTGAGCTAATTGTAAATAATTCCTTTCCCTGACTAAGTACAGTACTTATGTATCCATCTGTCTGTCTATCCGTATTAGGGCCGTGAAACTTATCAAATCTCCTTCAAACTTTGGAGACATGAAAAATTACGACTCCAGTTTTAAGATGAGCAAAATATGTGGAAAATGATGTCCAAATTTGTCGTGGTCAGGAAACCCTTTACAAATTTAGTACTTCAATTATTAAGAAGACCACGATTCGGGCTTCCAAATATTTTTGAAATTTGCGATCCGTAAATTTGTAAAACGTCAAACATTTCTTAACCAAATGTTTTCGTTGTTCTTACAACCGTTTCCGACCGTTTTTTGTAACTCTCAAATCGTATTACAGGATTTCGCGAATTTTCAGCCCCACAAAGTTAAGTAAGTAAGTAGTTTATTTACGAGATTGTTTGGCCATAGCCTTATACAATCATATTATTGATATTACATATTGTTACAATTTCTAGTCTAATTTTCCTCATCTCCTCTAATTTGATTAACAAAATCTCTTATACGGAATACATTTCTAAAGAATGTTTTTAAACTTTTAATCGTACTCGGCTGTATCCTATTAACAAATTGGTAATAATCATTTTCACTTGTTGGTACATTTTGCTCTGGAAACGAAATATATCGTGCGTAATTATAATTCTGACATATACATATCATGTGGAACAAAGTGTCTTCTTGTCCGCTGTTAGATACTAAACAATTGGGCGTTTTTTCCTTATAATATAAATTATTCAACTTGTTGAGTCGGACGATCTTATCTTTTTTACTTATCTGGTTTGCATTTATTCTTAACTGTGCTATCAATATGATTTGATTCCAAGGGACTTCCCAGTTTAAGTATAACTCTGCTCTTACATTGGTTTTGATAAGCTTATAGTGTGGGTAGCCCTGATCTTGGTTCATTTTTTCTATGTCAGCAGTGACTAATTTACTTCTTTAAGCCCCACGGAGTTAAACACATCGTTAGATTGGAGGCTAACATGGCAAAAAATCTGGCAGATCTCAAAATATTCTACTGTTTCTGGAACTTCAGGAAGAGTTCATACAATAGATAAAGTATAGATTTTCTGAATCCACTCACCGACACCTTTCTAACGGAACCCCACTCGTGTCCGTATGCAAAACCTGACCTTTCCTTAGTCTCAAATCGTAAAATTCGTTTTGGGAATT